AGCGCTGCGCTTATGAACAGCAATGATACAGTGTTTCCTTGGTTACCGCTGTAAACAAAGCAGCGCTGCGCTTATGAACAGCAATGATACAGTGTTTCCTTGGTTACCGCTGTAAACAAAGCAGCGCTGCACTTACGAACAGCAATGATACAGTGTTTCCTTGGTTACCGCTATAAACAAAGCAGAGATGCGCTTATGAACATCAATGATACAGTGTTTCCTTGGTTACCGCTATAAACAAAGCAGAGATGCGCTTATGAACATCAATGATACAGTGTTTCCTTGGTTACCGCTGTAAACAAAGCAGCGCTGCGCTTATGAACAGCAATGATACAGTGTTTCCTTGGTAACTGCTGTAAACAAAGCAGTGCTGCACTTATGAACTTTAATATGCATTATACAGAGGCAAGAGGAAAAGAAAAAATACCATCGAAAGACCGTAAAGTTTCCCTCAGACATACATTCATATAAACTCCTACCCCTAATTGAATCGCGATTTGTTTAGCATCTCAACCGATTTGAATCGTCACATATTGAAATGAATTTTCAACCGGCTCGCGGTTAATCGTTACATCCCTAGTCATCTGTGGTATTGATTGATAGCAGTATCCGTATACTATTCAAAATTACTAAGCAAACCAAACACTAATAATACTGTGCCTGTGGTTCAAACAGTAGAGAATGATGAATGCAGTGCCAAGGTCGAGGGTTCGATTCCCAGGGAATGCGTGAACTGATATAATCTTGATTTTCAATGCAATGCAAGTTGGATAAATTACATGCATGTAATTTTTGTATGTTATTTATTACAACAAAACTCTGCTGTTAATGTAGCACTGTTATTTTAGTTTAATTGAGATTAGGGATGAGCGATATGGACTTAAAAGCGATAAACTCTGTCAACAACTAGGTTTTATCGTTGTTATCGCGGGAAGACTAATTCTTACCATGGGGAGAATTTTTACTGGTATATCGCAAACTATAAGATATCACCCATCCCTAATTGAGATTATATTAATTTATCAATAGTTTGAATTATTTTATTTTTATTTGTTTTAATTTTAGTTTTAGTATTTTTTGTTTATCATTTTTAGTTAATTTTTAAAAATATGTTTATATGTATTAAGGTTGTGACGGTGAGGAAATTTGCCCACCGGTTAATCGACATGTGACAACACCGGTATCACCGCGGAGGCATTTCCTCTTTTCCTCGCTTTCCTTCGCTTTTAAATAGCTTGCAAAAGCGGCGTGCACATTTTATTTTCACTTTCAAATAGCGGCAATTCAGCGTAAAACAATTGTTCATTTGAATTTTCCCTCTTTTCCTCGCTTTCCTTCACTTTTAAATAGCTTAAAAGTGCCGTGCGCATTTTACTTTCACTCTCGAATTAGCGCCAATTCGGCATCGATTGCTTGAATGCAACAACAAAATACAACGTCAAACTCACTTTAGCGTATATATAAAACATAGAACTTTTATTAACAAAACGAATAAAAATACACCATGCTATAGGGCAGGCTATGCCTAATATAAAATAACAAATAAATTACATAAAGTTTAAATGTACAAAACTGGAAACAAGTAAACATGTATAATATATAACCAAATAAATAAGAAACGTAGAAAGTTTATTAGCAAAACGAGTAAGACCGCTTGGAGGCACGGCATACACCTTGATGTCAAATAAAAAAAATAAATGACACAAAGTTTAAATAAAGTAAAAATCAGCAAACAATGTGGAACCAATTAAATAAAAAACGAATGTTTAAAAAAACTTCCAAAATCACCTTAGATAAACGGCAAAAGTCAACAGGCTTTTCAAAATCCAAAATACTGCTAAACAGGCACTCTTGAATTTCGTTTCGAAACTAAATCATCCGTGATCGTCTTCTCTGTCTCACCTCACTCTTCTTGTCTGTCTCGCCTCACTCTTCTTGTCTGTCTCGCCTCACTCTTCTTGTCTGTCTCGCCTCACTCGTCTTGTCTGTCTCGCCTCACTCTTCTTGTCAGTCAGTTCGACTCACTCTCCTCACTGGAGAAATGAAATCTGATCTGTGATGCGACTGTCGTTCGGCACGCTGCATTGAGCAGCCACGTTCAGTTGTTAATTGTAGTGTCTGTGCTTTTACTGAACTAAATGATTTTTATTACTTTAAAAAAATCAAAACGACGGTGGGGGTCGGTGCCGCGGTGGCCAAGTGACGTAACCGGTGTTGTGGCTTAATAACGGTATCACCGTCAGCACCGTCTAGCCTAATATCTATATTTCAGTTTTTTTGTTGTTATTTTAGCATATCAAGTTAAACT